CTGGGATTGAGTTGCACTTTTCGCACCAAAGTACGTTCATCTCTAGGAGACAGAAGGCGTCTCCTTCTTGAGCGGTATGACGGCAGCGTGGTACCTTCAGGCATTTGGAAATTGCTCCCAAGGATGAACCAGACTTGTGTAGGTCTACAATTTTTTTTCTGAGGTCTTGGCAGATTTCTTTTGATTTTCCCATGATGTCAAGCAGAGAGGCACTGAGTTTGAAGGTAGGCCTGAAATACATCCACAGGTACACCTCCAATTGACTCATATGATGTCAATTAGCCTATCAGAAGTTTCTAAAGTCATGACATCATTTTCTGGAATTTTCCAAGCTGTTTAAAGGCACAGTCAACTTAGTGTATGTAAACTTCTGACCCACTGGAATTGTGATACAGTGAATTATTGTCACGATCGTTTACGTACGAGACGGACCAAGGCGCAGCGTGATAAGCGTACATTTTATTTAAGTACTTAACACACGACAAAACAAAAAACAAACGATACGTGAAGTCCTAGGTTACACAAAACAAACCTTTACGGAACAAGATCCCACACGACTAGTGCCAAACAGGCTGCCTGCGTGGCGACGTGCACCACTGGCTTGGCGCGAGGGACAGGAACATTTATTGGGGCTGTCTCTCGGGCTTCCTCCTCGGCCGGCACCTCCTGCGTTGCCGCTGCTCCTCTCTATAGCGCGCCTCCACAGTCTCCTCCCAAGGACGGCGATCCATTCCGGCCTGAATCTCCTCCCAAGTCCAGGATCCCTTCCCGTCCAGGATCTCCTCCCACGTCCAGGCTGTCTGTTCCTGGACACGCTGCTTGGTCCTTAGTTGGTGGGATCTTCTGTCACGATCGTTTACGTACGAGACGGACCAAGGCGCAGCGTGATAAGCGTACATTTTATTTAAGTACTTAACACACGACAAAACAACAAACAAACGATACGTGAAGTCCTAGGTTACACAAAACAAACCTTTACAGAACAAGATCCCACACCGACTAGTGCCAAACAGGCTGCCTAAGTATGGTCCCCAATCAGAGACAACGAGTTACAGCTGCCTCTGATTGGGAACCACCCTGGCCAACATAGATCCACACGATCTAGAAACAAACATAGAAAATAATATATAGAAACTCCACACCCTGGCTCAACATTTAAGAGTCCCCAGAGCCAGGGCGTGACAGTACCCCCCCCCCCCCCCCCCCCCCCCCCCCAAAGGCGTGGACTGCGACCGCGCCACACAAACACAACAGGGTAGGGGCCGGGTCCGGGCGTGACCACCGCTTTCTCTCCACCTCCCCGTTGCGCCCCTGGTCTGGTCTGGCACCGCTGACTGGAGCTGGACCCGACGACGGTGGATCGATCTGTACAGGCTCCGGACTGGAGCCGCTGGCCGGAGCTGGATTGGGAACCGGTGGAGCGGATTCCTCTGGCTCCGGAGTGGATCCGCTGACAGGAGTTGGACCGGACCCCGGTGGAGCGGATTGCTCTGGCTCCGGAGTGGAGCAGCTGACTGGTGCCGGACCAGGCACCGGTGGAACAGGCACGGGCCGTGCCGGACTGGACACACGCACCACTGGCTTGGTGCGGGGAGCAGGAGCGGGCCGTACCGGGCTGACGACACGCACCACTGGCTTGGTGCGGGGAGCAGGAGCGGGCCAGACCAGGCTGACGACGCGCACCACTGGCTTGGTGCGGGGAGCAGGAACGGGCCGGACCGGGCTGACGACGCGCACCACTGTCTTGGTGCAAGGGCAGGAACAGGCCGGACCGGGCTGACGACGCGCACCACTGGCTTGGTGCGAGGGGCAGGAACAGGCCGGATCGGGCTGGCGACGCGCACCACTGGCTTGGCGCGAGGGACAGGAACAGGCCGGACCGGGCTGGCGACGCGCACCACTGGCTTGGCGCGAGGGACAGGAACAGGCCGGACCGGGCTGGCGACGTGCACCACTGGCTTGGCGCGAGGGACAGGAACATTTATTGGGGCTGTCTCTCGGGCTTCCTCCTCGGCCGGCACCTCCTGCGTTGCCGCTGCTCCTCTCTATAGCGCGCCTCCACAGTCTCCTCCCAAGGACGGCGATCCATTCCGGCCTGAATCTCCTCCCAAGTCCAGGATCCCTTCCCGTCCAGGATCTCCTCCCACGTCCAGGCTGTCTGTTCCTGGACACGCTGCTTGGTCCTTAGTTGGTGGGATCTTCTGTCACGATCGTTTACGTACGAGACGGACCAAGGCGCAGCGTGATAAGCGTACATTTTATTTAAGTACTTAACACACGACAAAACAACAAACAAACGATACGTGAAGTCCTAGGTTACACAAAACAAACCTTTACAGAACAAGATCCCACACCGACTAGTGCCAAACAGGCTGCCTAAGTATGGTCCCCAATCAGAGACAACGAGTTACAGCTGCCTCTGATTGGGAACCACCCTGGCCAACATAGATCCACACGATCTAGAAACGAACATAGAAAATAATATATAGAAACTCCACACCCTGGGTCAACATTTAAGAGTCCCCAGAGCCAGGGCGTGACAATTATAAGTGAAATAATCTGTCTGTAACAATTGTTGGAAAAATTACTTGTGTCATGCACAAAGTAGATGTCCTAACTGACTTGCCAAAACGGTAGTTTGTTAACAAGAAATGTGTGGAGTGGTTGAAAAACCAGTTTTAATGACTCCAACCTAAGTGTATGTAAACTTCCGACTTCAACTGTAGATGGGTTAATCCATTTTTAATTCAGGCTGTAACACAACAAAATGTGGAATAAGTCAAGGGGTATGAATACTTTCTGAAGGCACTGTACATCCCAAAGAGCATCTCTACCAAATTTTGCGCCAGTAGCGACGTGTGGGTAAAATCACTTGGGAAGCCAGAAGAAAAATGCCATTTTACAACCTGTGTTGTGATAATTGCGTTGTTTGCTCTATAACCTGTTTGTTCATATGCTTTGCAACCTTGATATATAGGCCTAAGGCCGAGACAATAAGAAGACACAGTGGCAGAATAAATTCAACCACACCTTTTTTTCATCACAAAACTGGAGAGCAACCTCTGTCCGGTGAAGTCTACAAAGCATATTGCATGTAACAAACAGTTACATGACCTACAGCATGGTCAAGCAAGTTAATGTTTTGGACATTTTTTGACTAGTAAACAACTATTGATTTAGAACCACAGAGAGTTACCACGTCGCAAAGAATACATGAGCTGCCGCCACTATTCTAGCACCATTTCAACTTCAACATTTCAACATCATATCAAATCACTTATGCTTAGTCTAATACAGTGACAACTAAAAGATACCAGAAACAATTTAGTCCAATCAACATAAGCTAAATATGATGTGGCTGGCCATGGTTCTGATTTGTGTGTGTGTGTGTGTGTGTGCTTGCGCGTTAGTGCATGTAGAAAAAACATGTTGACTCACCCTACTTGTGGAGAAACGCCAATGCCATCCTCTCTTTCATGTTGACGAAACGGTCTATCACTCTGTCATACAGTACATGCTTTTATTTTTTGTTGTCCCTACCTGGCTAAAATGGTTGCCCGCTAGCCTAACTTCCTTTCATGGGCAACGTTAGCTAGTTAACATTAGCCTTCTACATGCTACATATTGAACTTCCATCCTCTCAGTCCAGGGGCACAATTTATGAATTTATGGTTGGATCAGAATTGCCGTTATAGTCATTGGCTAGTACGGAGAATTAAGTAAAACTACAAGTCCAAATCCCTATCTCCATCCCATGGTTAATTTAGGAAAGAGACAATTTTAGGACAACAACACAAGTAGATGCAACAATTCAAGTTGACCTATTTCTCTTGATGTGATGTGATTGGAGTGAAGCCAAAGCCAAACTGGCTACCCTTTACACTTCTTTTTTGGTGCTCCAGGACCATTCACAGTTGAGCTCACTCAGTTTAGCTCAAGTCTGATTGGCTATTATTTTATACAGTTTTTTATCAAGGGAGGCCAAGTGCTCGCTAGCTTCCCTTGCATTCAATGCTAGGGGCGGCAACAATGTCATACTTGACCAAACAGCATCAGACACAGAGACAGAGGTCGCTGTTTCGCTCACTCAGATGCTTTCTCCGGTGAGATTCAGCCTCTTACAAATTGATGGAAAATTATGAAACACAGAGATGAAAGATACATTAGGCCTATATATAATTTTTTTCTTGGTCCCATGAATACATTCCACTGTAAATTAACGTTTGTATCCGTCACGTCACGGTCTCATCACTTTTTGACGCGAAGGCCCCGGACTATAGGGTCTGTCGTCTGTGCAGCAGGCTGAACGTGTGATGCCCCTAGGCATCTTATTTAGATGCCTCTAAGCATCTACTGGTAAATGAGACGAATCAGTGCCCACTGCCCAAGTGGTTATTTTCATTGGCGCTGTCCGTGGTGCTGAAACTAAACTGGGCTCTACAGGTTGCCTGTGTATATGAAGTGAACCAAATTAAACTGTAGCCTATTGTGTGATCAACTCTTTCCAGACCTTAGGCTACCACCATTGTTGTGAGTCCCTTTACAGAAGACGGGATACTTATGCTGAATAAACGAAGCCTGAATATCTGCGCGTTGTGCTTAAAAAAAAACTAGTGTCGGATAAACCAGGCGTGTTATAGCTCCGTACGGACAGCAGATGGCCCCTCATCCCATATTTTCCGTCTGGATTTGCTTTCCCCTCCTACGTCATTGGAATCTCAAAATGGCTCCTGCTCACGGCCGAAATGGGGGCGGCTGCCGGTTTTTCTAATAACAGAAAGGATACACGACCAGGCGACTGATATTCTCCCCTTTCCTGCCGCTGTCGCTCGGAATAGCAACCGTATTTTGATTTGCGTCATTATGTAATGAGGGATACTCTCTGAGATCATGATAGGCATAATAGCTAGACAAGGAACAACGGGGACCGTGCAAGCAGAGCTGAACCAGCCACCACAGCGTTTTTGTTATGGAGCGGTGGTGTGGGGAATGTGAATGACATGGAAAAGGCATATAATGGCTCTTCTCCACCGGCTTTCTCTGTTGATGTGAACGAAAAGGGAACCAGCAGCACATCTCTCACCCAGCCACTGTCAGACGGTACCGCCGACGCGGCAGCTCGTCTCTCTAAACATGTCAGCAGGGATGAAACGGGTTGCAGTGACAGCAGAGAGTCGGGTGAAGCAGGAGAGGATATTGGCCGTTCCACAGTTTTAGTTACTGACAGCCCATCCGGTGGCACTGTAAGCAATTGTGTTATTCCTGAGCCAGGTAGCGACTCTGCTACAAACGGGTTTACTGGGTCAACAATGGTAGGCTCCAAGGCAGGGAACTGCTCTGCTATCACTGCAGTGAATCGAGAGGAAATGGACAGGAATGCTCTCCAGGGGATCTCACTGGCTGAGAAGAACAAGGATTCCTCTGCAGAAGAACTAGATGCCTGTCATCCACCATTGAACTTTGTGACAGCAGCTGAGACTGTGGAGTCATTGACACACTCCTGCAATGGACAGCTTGAACTGAGCTGCACAGCTGCCTCCCGGACTGGTCCACAGGGGCTCTCGAATTGGGACACAGACAGTGTTATACAGAGCACCCTCAGCAGTGATGCTGTTAGTAGGCCACAGATTAACTGGAGTACGACCCCTGACAAGGAGGCCAAAATGGCAAACGGTGGATTATTTATAGGACCCAGCAGCGCCAAGTTACACACAGAGACAGTTGTAACAATTATTTTGGATGGTGCTGCAACCGGTCTCTCTAACACAAAGTGTGAAAACCCCTCCTCAATTGCAGTGAGTGCAAGGGAAGGCCATGACGAATCCTGCAATATCAGAGAGGAACCTGACGAAGCCGGGGCCCAGCCTAGGACACAAGCTAACGTGGCAGGAGATCTGTCTGATGGTGCTACTTCAAATCTCACCTCTCAGGGTTTACCATCAAGCCCAGCACCAACGAAAGACCCCTGTGGGGTCAGTGTTAAACCAGACACCTGTCAGGGAGAGGAACCGTCAGCATCTGGTCACCTAGGAGATGATCCATCCTCCAGACCCCATCCTCAGGCCCTCAGGACCAGGACTGTACCCAACAGTCTGAGCTATGACTCCTCCACCTTTCTCAGCCCAGGGGATGAGGACGGGGAGACATTCGTGGAGCTGGGGGCCCAGGGCCACAGTGACCTCAGGTTCATGGACGTCAGTCTGAGCTCCAGGAACACCTTTGAGTCCAGCAGACGTCAGTCCGCCCCAGGAGATATACCAGAGGGCCTGAGTGTAGTCTCGGTAGACCCCTCTGAACTGGCTTTACAGTCCAAAAGACCCGGCATTGCTGAGTATTTTGGCAGGTAAATGAGTTGTTGTATTTGTTGGCTGAGATTATTTGCATGGTGACAAGTGCATGTTTTGCAAGGACAAGAGAGGTACAAACTTTGTCACAGTCTGCTTACTTCTCTTCACATCAATGTTTGCCTTTATGCTCTGTATAGCCATATTAATGCTGTAATTTAAACCCTTTACAACAGCAGTCACTGCCATTAATCTTGCTCTCCTAGCAAAACTGTGTCTTGGTCCTGTAACAGCACACCAGGACATAATGAACAAAGCCAGAACTAGAACTATGCCTCTGCCTCATTCAACATTTAGAGCAGGCAGAGACCTGGTGGAAATGGAGCCAGCTGCAGTGAATGCTGTAGTAATGGTGTTCCCACACACAGACATCCTCTAGGTTGTTACACTTTACATTAGGTATCAATTAATTAGAAACGGTTAATTATTAATTATAGATAATTTATAAATCTGTAATAAATACTTAGAACATGATTGGTATCTATAATATAGTAATTAACAGTTTATGAACTACTAATAACTCCTTTATAAACCCTTTTGAGCATACCTTCATGTAAAGTGTTAACCCCTAGGTTTATGATCCCACATAGGCTCAGGTGAAATTGATCTAATTGATGAAATAAGAGTGGCAGCATATCACTCACTCAGTGTCAACTGAACTGACCATATCAGTATGACATATGTCCGATCTAGGAAATGATTCAGAGAGACATTAATATCCCTGATTTCTCAGTACGTCGACTCATCAAAACCGTTTAGCTGACAGGGATTAAAATAAGCGTGTCATCATTCATAATTGCCCACTCATTGTCCTGGCTTTTCTGTCTGGTCAGGAGTTTATTTTCCAAGAAGCAGAGAGAGCCGAAAGGTCCGTCTCAGAATGTCCCTGGTTGGAAGCTGTTTGGAAAAGTCCCCGCTAGAGAGAGCGCTCCCAAGGACTCCAGGACCATACAGCAGGTTGGTGTCCCAGGCCCTTATTCTTAAAGCATGTCAGATTAGGAGTGTTGATCTAGGATCAGTTTTGTCTTTTAGATCATAATGAATAGGATTTCATGGACATGGAGGCCATGGGCCCGTATACATAAAGCATCTCAGAGTTACAGTGCTGATCTAGGATCAGGTCATCCATGTCCATATAATCTTATTCATTATTATTTGAAAGACAAAACTGATCCTAGATCCACACTCCTATTCCGAGAAGCTTTTTGAATGCAGGCCCTGATGTCACTGTGCTACTACATCTACAGTAGTTATTCACAGACCTATTAACTTCCTATTAACTGACCTTCTAACTGCCTGTACAGTATTGTGTATGGGAGAGAAAGCTATCTGACCCTGCCTGGAGTGAATCCAGCAAGTGCGTCATCTAGGAATGTACTAGTAAAGTCGAGGTGGATGCCATGAGCTCAATATTTAGCCTAGATCTTTTTTTCCACGCGCTAGTCAGGACTTAATCCCTATTTATCTGGGTTATGTCAGCCGTACGTACCTAACCTCAATTTGTTAACATAGTAACAAGTAAAGGACTACAACTGTTTGATCTCCAATCAAGTCATTTACACCCCTTCTGTTCAACTCCTTCACCTATGATACATTTCATTGCAGCCCTTTGTTTTGTATCACATGATTCACTAGTTGTCACTTGAAACAGACACAGTAAAATTGCAGCCTTGTGCAATATGCAATGACACAGCATAACAATCAATCCCTACGCCCTATTCTCACAAGAACTCACCTATACCTGTCTGACCAGGTAGCAAACTGATAGCATCTCACACTCACAGATATCATTCCTTCTGAGAATCCTATAATAGAGTGCCTGGTAATAATGGCATCAGAGCTTAAATATAGTAGTGTGATAAAGGCTTTAGTCAGCCTGTACTTGGCCTACTCCTTCCCAACACCGACAAGAGAGAGTAGGGCATGGTAGGGTTCAGGTCATCCAGGTTGGAGGCTGGCAGGCCCGTCTGCCACTGCAGTTATTGAGGGTGTATACTCCAGTTGGCTCTGGGGCTGGCTAGCTGCCTGGGTAAGGAGTAGGTCTTACACAAGGTGTATGCCTCTTGCCTACTTCCTGGAACGTTGAGCCTCGGCTGAGCTTGAATTATGCCAATCTCCTAGCCTCAGCCGTCTCATGCCCTCAGCCGCTGGCTCTGTCCTTCCTCTCCCTCTCTCTCCCTCTTCTCCTCACTCCCTGTCTCCCTCTCTACTTCCCCTACTCTGCCAAGCAGGTACAACTCCGTCTCCACACTCGTTGGAGGCACTAATGCATGTTTTCATGCCGGGATGGAAACAGACACCAAAGCCAATTAAATGTTTCCCTTCACTGGATTAGTAATGCACTCAACTCTAGTACAGACAGCTGCAGACGGAGATGAGAGCGTTTATAAGCCTCACTACTCTGCTACTGAGATTATGACTAGAAGAAAGTGAGCTCATCTAGAGTGAGCTACAGAGGTTAGAGCAGGGATCTAGGTGTCAGAGGTTCCATCCGTAATGTATTCCAGTATAGAAGCTCAGATGATGGGTTGATCTTTCATGCAGTTTTCCTACATGCAGGGGTAGGGATTAAATTGCATCTCCAACAGAGGCCCTTTCAATAAAGTTGACTATCTTCCTTACCTTGGCCAAAGGGTAAAGATGCTTATGTGGATTGGATGTGTATTGAAGGGTCACACTGTATTTGGATAGTCCGAATAGTCCATCTGTAGATGCTGTACAGATGGTCATACTATCAACAAACGTATCTGTTGAAAAGCAACCTCTTGCTAAGGTTACGTTAGGGTTAGGTTTAGAATAAGGTTTAGGGATAGAGTTAATAGATAGTTAGATGAAATGTTACTGATTAGTCTGTAGAGCATCTACAGATGGACTATCCAAATAAAGTGGTTACCTTGAATTACTTGACATGTTATTTTTTGTTTGATAGACACTTTGGACTTTGGAGGGGTTGAACTGAGTGTAAACTTTGTTCTTCTTTCATCAGGAGAGTATTCCAGATGGTCTCACGTCTGTGTCCACACCAAATCTCTTAAGCGCAGGGGTATGGACTTTCTCGAGTTTCCTTTTCAGTCATCTTCTCAATCTCCTATCTGCATGGGGCTGCCAAGCAACCATTTCCATTGACCATCCAACTCATGTCCATTCCCACCCTAGCACTGACAGGGGAGAGGGAAATGTATGCTAGGAAAAAAAAACATAATTAAACACAGTATCAAGTAATCTTCAACAATCCCAAGGTCTCTGAGACGCTTGCCATAGCTCCAGCAGCTCATAGACTCTGTGGATCAAAATGTTGTAATCCAGAGTGTTGTAATCCAGTTTTCCTTACATACATCTAGTGTAATAGATCTATTAGATTTGCCTGTATTCCTTATTATAGACAGCAAACGTTCAGGCAGCTACACAGACACTATGGAAACTAGTCTAGAGCTCCCAGTTAAATTGTGCTTGAGAGCATTTTTTAACTCTCTAAATGGTTAAATTAGTGAGAAATAGATGTCCATTGTTGCAATAGTTTGAGTGGGCAACATATACAGTGGGGGAAAAAAGTATTTAGTCAGCCACCAATTGTGCAAATTCTCCCACTTAAAAAGATGAGAGAGGCCTGTAATTTTCATCATAGGTACACGTCAACTATGACAGACAAATTGAGAATTTTTTTTCCAGAAAATCACATTGTAGGATTTTTAATGAATTTATTTGCAAAATATGGTGGAAAATAAGTATTTGGTCACCTACAAACAAGCAAGATTTCTGGCTCTCACAGACCTGTAACTTCTTCTGTCCTCTACTCGTTACCTGTATTAATGGCACCTGTTTGAACTTGTTATCAGTATAAAATACACCTGTCCAGAACCTCAAACAGTCACACTCCAAACTCCACTATGGCCAAGACCAAAGAGCTGTCAAAGGACACCAGAAACAAAATTGTAGACCTGCACCAGGCTGGGAAGACTGAATCTGCAATAGGTAAGCAGCTTGGTTTGAAGAAATCAACTTTGGGAGCAATTATTAGGAAATGGAAGATGGCTCCACGCAAGATCTCACCCCGTGGGGTCAAAATGATCACAAGAACGGTGAGCAAAAATCCCAGAACCACACGGGGGGACCTAGTGAATGACCTGCAGAGAGCTGGGACCAAAGTAACAAAGCCTACCATCAGTAACACACTACGCCGCCAGGGACTCAAATCCTGCAGTGCCAGACGTGTCCCCCTGCTTAAGCCAGTACATGTCCAGGCCCGTCTGAAGTTTGCTAGAGTGCATTTGGATGATCCAGAAGAGGATTGGGAGAATGTCATATGGTCAGATGAAACCAAAATAGAACTTTTTGGTAAAAACTCAACTCGTCGTGTTTGGAGGACAAAGAATGCTGAGTTGCATCCAAAGAACACCATACCTACTGTGAAGCATGGGGGTGGAAACATCATGCTTTGGGGCTGTTTTTCTGCAAAGGGACCAGGACGACTGATCCGTGTAAAGGAAAGAATGAATGGGGCCATGTATCGTGAGATTTTGAGTGAAAACCTCCTTCCATCAGCAAGGGCATTGAAGATGAAACGTGGCTGGGTCTTTCAGCATGACAATGATCCCAAACACACCTCCCGGGCAACGAAGGAGTGGCTTCGTAAGAAGCATTTCAAGGTCCTGGAGTGGCCTAGCCAGTCTCCAGATCTCATCCCCATAGAAAATCTTTGGAGGGAGTTGAAAGTCTGTGTTGCCCAGCGACAGCCCCAAAACATCACTGCTCTAGAGGAGATCTGCATGGAGGAATGGGCCAAAATACCAGCAACAGTGTGTGAAAACCTTGTGAAGACTTACAGAAAACGTTTGACCTGTGTCATTGCCAACAAAGGGTATATAACAAAGTATTGAGAAACTTTTGTTATTGACCAAATACTTATTTTCCACCATAATTTGCAAATAAATTCATTAAAAATCCTACAATGTGATTTTCTGGATTTTTTTTTTTCTAATTTTGTCTGTCATAGTTGACGTGTACCTATGATGAAAATTACAGGCCTCTCTCATCTTTTTAAGTGGGAGAACTTGCACAATTGGTGGCTGACTAAATACTTTTTTTCCCCACTGTACTATCGTCTGAAGTTGACATGTTGAATTGTTTTGCCGTATTCAATTATTTAATAATACGCTAATTTCCCTAATGTGGACAGTTTGTGTTACTACCTTAAATAAACTCGCATTTTCACCTCATGCAATGAAGTGAAATTACATATAATTTTAACCTCAGATAGGTGATCTTAATATAAACATTTATAGGAATCAAGATGGCACTAAATCGATTGATTTAAATAGATTAATATCTTTGGTTTGGTACCATTGATTTTATCATACGCGCCTTTCCGTTGCAGGTCTTAGAACGCAGTTGTCATTTTCAAACTCAAATGGCAAGGGAAAATCGGGGCGCTCTCTTTATAAAAGCCGCTGGACACAAACAAATACACATATTTGATAGTCAAGCTATCAATCAAATGAGAGCCAACCCCTGTCACTGTGTAGAACTACCTGTGGAGAAATTATTTGTTGAAATGATCCAGGTTCCTTTTTCGTATTGCCATCTACCGTAAACTTTGTGCCACAAGGAGATTAGTTGATAAATGGCTACTACAGGTTCTCATCTATTGACTGGTATATGTAGTATACACAAGTTCGTTGTTGTCTTTCAGAAGAGCGCAAATGGCACATGTAGCGGCAGCGAATTGTCCCAGTACCATTGATTTCCATACAATATCGATGTGAGTGATTAATCTGTGCACGCTATTGATTACAGTAGAACAAGCTAATCAATTTCAGCCTGGAGTGACTGCTTGGTAAATGTTGATGTGTGAGCAGTTTTTAAGGAACTAATTTAGCAAAATACAAGTAATCTGAACACAAGCGTGACACGGGTGTAGGGAGTCATTTTTATGTCTTGGTCTTCAACATGCAGTATCACAACTTATTTCAGCATATTGATTATGAATTTGGACATTTAAAACCAGTGTTTTGACACTAGGCTATAAATTAAAAATACATGACAGGAAGCAGCAACAGTATCATTTTCAACTTATGTCTTAAGAATATAGAAGTTACTTTTAACATGATTTTTCAACAAGATTCTACCTATTTAGGTAAATACTACTGCATGAGTCCAAAAACGTGCTTGATTTTGATGATATTAGTGAAATCCTGTACACCCTGAGGATGCTCTCTCTCTCTCTCTCTCTCTCTCTCTCGAGGGAGGGAGGAGGAGTAGCTCTCGCAGGACGAGATCGCTATCTCCGAGGAGAGCGCTCGAGAGATCGAGCGAGCTGAGAGCGGCGAGCGAGAGCGGATGCAGAGAGAGAGCGCGTTAGAGCCGCGACTCTCGCTCTCTCGCTCTCGCTCTCTCTCGGCTCTCTCCAGATCTCTCCTCCAAGCATCAAAACAATCACACACGTCAGCACTCTCTCTCTCTCTCTGCCGCGAGATCTCCTCTCTCACAGTCATCAACAACCATCACACACTGTCTCAGTCCCACCATTTTCTCCTCTCTCTCTCTCTCTCTCTCTCTCTCTCTCTCTCTCTCTCTCTCTCTCTCTCCACAGTCATCAACAACCATCACACACTCCTCAGTCCCACCATTTTCTCTCTCTCTCTCTCTCTCTCTCTCTCCACAGTCATCAACAACCATCACACACCCCTCAGTCCCTCCATTTTCTCTCTCTCTCTCTCCCCCCTGCCCCATAGGCTGCTGCCTGCATGGGCCCCGTGATCTCCACAAGCCTGTCAGCTGATCCTGTCACCCCTCGCGGCTAAAGCCACTATCTTTCCTCCCTTTCAAATTTAAACCCAAGAGGCTAGTTTACCTGTATTTGGGCTGTGTTTTCTAGGACCTATGGGGATTCAGGTTTTATATGTATCTGCAGGAGTTTGAGGCCAGGGTGGGCAAGGCTGGGCCTGGGGGAACGCCAGCTGGGCTGTCCCCTACTCAGCCTCAACAGAGCCGGAGGAAGAACCTGGAGTTTGAGCCACTGTCCACCACAGCTCTTATACTGGAGGACAGGCCTGCGTAAGTCCACAATCTCTCTCTCTGCTTTATTTCTGTCCCGTCTTTCCATTTCTTTGTCTGTTCCTCTATTCCTCTGTTGTTGTTTATTATGCCCTCCAGTCCTTGTAGATCACAGTGTGATCTGGGTCTATATTACACACAATACATTATTTTCAACTAGGCTCAGGCCAGGCTGTGGTGTCTATTAAAAACACAGTGAGAAACACAGCGTCCAAAGACAAGTGGTGTTGTGTTTCTCTGTCTGTGGGTCTCCTTGGTCAACTCAGTTGCTCTCTCTGTTCCAAGACCTCAGGCCCTCATTAAGAATAGATGTATGAAATCTGAGTGTGTTGTCTGAACCATGGCAAAGTCAGTCTCTCTTTGTAGGTGTTTCTCTCTCTTTAATCCTCAATGTGTTGAACTTGACTAAAAGTAACCATTTTGTGTCCTCATTTGCTGTGATATGCACTGATTACGGTGAAACTGACACTGATAGACACTGGCACTGTGTCTCCTCTCCTCTGCTTTCTCTGCAGGAACCTTCCTGCCAAGTCTGTGGAGGAGGCCCAGCGTCACCGCCAGGAGTATGATGAGATGGTGGCCGAGGCCAAGAAGAGAGGTACTGTTAATGTATTCCTCTCTCACCCCTTCACTTTCACTGTCTTTTCAGGGCTGTGTAATGGAGGTCAGCAGCATTTAACCTGTCCACTGTATAGACCTCCAGATGTTACTTAGCTCATTCTGTCAGTTGTAGCTGTTGCTAAAGCCAGACCTTGTACATACTTTTGCCACTTTACATCATGATAAAAATTGTAAAGCAGAAGGAAAATAAATTAGAGATTTTTAAAGCATTTATAAGCATCTGTTAACATTTATAAGCATTTATAATGGCTTATTCATTAAAAGTTATTATAAAGTGTAACCAAAGGATGTGTGCCCTCCTCCCCACAGAATTGAAGGAGGCCCAGAGGAAAAGGAAAGAGATGAAGGAGAGGTTTAAGCAGGAGGAAAGCATCGCCAACGCCATGGTGGTCTGGAACAACGACATCCTGCCCAACTGGGAAAACACGTGAGTTAGCTAGTTAGTCACTTCCTGCTAAACAACTCTCAACTGGCATGGAGCAGCCATGTACCGTATCCAGTCAGTACAGTACAGTGGAAGTCGGTGCCGTTTAAGGTGAGGGAGGATGCTAATTTTTTTTAGGAGCATGGTTTATTTCTATTCCAGCATATTGGATGACTGTCATTCAAATTCCATTCACCCTGCTCAATGTAACATCGATAGGTTTAGGCTACTACATGATACTCTAATTTCCCCTTTACCCATCATGAGGTTGCTACAACCTAGCCTATGAATGAAAGTTTACAACGTAGGTGCACAGATAAAGATAATTTTGAGTAATCAAGATGACAGACAGTGACACATTCAATACCGCCTTGCACACTCTTGCTTGCAATGTTTATCCCCGTTTTATTCAGTTTGCTTCCATTTAAGAAACGTTTTTCAACAGAATCGGCAGAATGAATACACCCCTGATCACACGCAAACACAGTTCACTTTCATAGAAGCCACATAGAAAACAGCATGATCACTTTGCTCGTTTTATATATAATTCCTTCTCGCAACTATCTACGCGCTCTCCTCCTCTGGCCTTTTCCCTTCGCTTGTGGACTTCAGTGCACAACACATCAGCTGTCTGTGACCAGTCAAAAAAACCTTTCCAAGCCAAACCTTCAAATCATGACCATTGAACGCTAACCGCAGCCTACATCGTTGCACGTCATAGTCAACATACTAGAACTAACGCGTTAGTAAACCCGCTACAATCACGCAGTACAGTGTACAGTCAGAAAGCAGTTTCTCAGTTACACCGGTGGGCCCCAGTGGCAATAAATTAATAAAACCAAAAGCTTACCTTGACTTGGAAGAGTTCCAGTGTTGGATAGCCATAGCCAGCTAGCTAACGTAGCATCCCTCTCTGTTTGAGCCGGGTGTTTGAGTAGGCTAAACTAGCTAGCTAGCTGCATTCACTAGAAAAGTGAAAGTAAAAACATCCTACCAAATATCTCATCTCTCTCTCTCTCTCTTGCTTCTCCTTAATTTTGGAAGATATTAATTTGTTAAAAACAGTTTAACTATTGTCTTTCTCTCTTTGAGTCAACTACTAACCACATTTTATGCACTGCAGTGCTAGCTAGCTGTAGCTTATGCTTTCAGTACTAGATTCATTATCTGATCCTTTGATTGGGTGGACAACATGTCAGTTCATGCTGCAAGAGCTCGGATAGGTTGGAGGACATCCTCCGGAAGTTGTCATAATTACTGTGTAAGGCTTTGGTAGGGGGTGAGAACCAAGAGCCTCCTAGGTTTTGTATTGAAGTCAATGTACCCAGAGGAGGACAGAAGCTAGCTGTCCTCAGGCTACACCATGGCGCTACCCTACAGAGTGCTGCTGATGTTACTGTAGACCTTCATTGCAAAACAGTGTGTTTTAATCAATTATTTGGTGACATGTGAATATATTTAGTATAGTTTTATCTAAAAAGGATAACTTTTATAATGTTTCACTATTTTTATTTTTATGAAATTCACTGAGGAGGATGGTCCTCCCCTTCCTCCTCTAAGGAGCCTCCACTGGTACAGTATTCAGTCTGTGACTCAGCCAGTCAGTTATTCAGCCAGTCAGCCATTCAATTAGCCAGCCAATCAGCCAGTGAACCAGTCGGCTTAATCAGCCAGTCAGTTAGTCAGTAAACCAGACGGTCAGTAAACCAGTCAGTCAGGCAGTCAGTCAGGGCTCCCATGTGCAGTAGACCCATGCCAGTCTGTTTGTGTCCCCCTGTAGGCGTAACACTCGACGGGTGAGAGAGCTCTGGTGGCAGGGCTTGCCCCCCAATGTCAGAGGAAAGGTCTGGAGCCTGGCCATCGGCAACGAGCTCAACATCACCCCAGGTATGTATGGTGTTTCAATAGTCATAACTCATAGAACTCCCATCATAATTCAGTATTCCCATTGGCAAAATATGATCAGATTTGCCTTCAGAAAAAGCAATACAAAGTGAAGGAAGTTATGTGTCAATACACATAACAAAGTACATTGAAATGTATTAAAATAGCCAAGGTTATACATCTAAAAATGTAGTGCCAAGGTATTGTTTGTTTTCTAACAAAACAAGCACTTTCACCACATTCAGCCTGTTGTGTATTTAGTGATAGGAATGTCTGGATGCCCTACTTGTTTTACTGCCAGGAAGTGCCTTTGTGGTTTACAGAAAAATGCATAATAGACGTCTCAGTTGGAGAACCCACCACCTGACTCATTGAGAGAGTGATCTTCTTTCCTTTCCTCCCTTTTCTACAGAGCTGTATGAAATCTTCCTCTCCAGAGCCAAGGAGAGATGGAGGAGTTTCAGTGAGACGGGTTCAGAGACAGAGGCAGATGGTTGGTCTGAGGCGGGGGGGGGGGGGGGGGGGGGGGGGGGGGGGGGGGGGGGGGGGGGGGGGGGGGGGGGGGGGGGGGGGGGGGAGACTGTGAATCTCAGCCTCAGACACACACACATCCATTCTCCTCTCTCTCTCTTTGAGACAAAGCTATTTCCTCTCGTTGCTTCACATCTGAGGTCCTTGACACATTATGGCACAAAAACCTAGCAGTGCTGCCGGCATATTGGCGTCACATTACTGCACAAATCCCCCTCACTCAGCAGCAATTTGCAGGCTTGTTGCAAAGGCTTTCTGTTGTTTTTCCTCCATTGATCTGTAAAGCGTCTGTTTCTACCATTATGTCAGACTATCTGCCCTTTGGTCCAATACTGAGAGTCAATAGTGACACATTCAAAGCTCTAACATCTGTAGCGCATCAGAAAGACTGTGTTTTTGCCAACGAGAGCCTTAGGAGATGGATCCAACAGGACTTAATAGAGCTGAACAGAGAGATTTGCAGCATGTCTCCTCTTGGCATCATTTTAGGTTACAAAATATTGGCACTGCAGCTGTGTCTCTGTATCTGTCATTGATTGCTGAGTTACTCGGTCTATCATGCACAAACAACGATACAGAGAGATCAAACAAGCTGGAGATCAGTTTATTTTAGGAAACTGAAATGGTTACGTTTGTCCTTTCTCTTATAATGTTTTTAACATAATCTGTTTGTGTTTCGATACTAGATGGGGCATCCTTAGCAGACAGAGAGTCCAGTCTGGACCTGATCAAGCTGGACATATCCCGCACATTCCCCCCTCTTTTTATCTTCCAGAAGGTACAGTACATCTCTTACCCCACGTGTGTGTGTGTGTGTGTGTGTGTGTGTGCGCGCGTGCTCCATGTCAGTTCTCATCCTCTGATTGTCTTCCACCACAGGGTGGGCCATATCATGATCTCCTCCACAGTGTGCTGGGGGCCTACACCTGTTACAGACCTGACGTGGGATATGTGAGTAACACTTCAAAACAGCAGTCTCAGTCCTTATGTTCTCCCATACTGTACATGCGGTGGTTGTAAAGTGAAATGGCGGTTCTCTTCTCTTTCAGGTCCAGGGAATGTCCTTCATAGCTGCAGTGTTAATCCTCAACCTGGAGGAAGCTGATGCCTTCATCGCGTTCGCTAACCTGCTCAACAAGCCCTGCCAGCTGGCCTTTTTTAGAGTGGACCATGATCTGGTGAGACGCACTTCCACAGGGCCTACAGTGGGAAATTGTCCTCTCTCTAAAACGACTTTAACAGTACTGAATTAGTCGTCACTGAATCTCTCCCTACCCTTTAATTCTTCTCTAGATGCTGAAATACTTTGCTGCGTTCGAGGTGTTCTTTGAAGAGAACCTCCCAAGACTATTTAACCACTTCCAGAGCTCCAAACTCACCCCAGATCTCTATCTCATAGACTGGTAAGTAGCTATGGTATCTCTATGAACATTTGAAAGTATGTAAATAAATGAAAGTATGTAGCAGCTCTCTGTAGTGTGGCCTTCAAGCTGTTATCTCACACTTTTAGTTCCAGTCATGCTATCAGCTCAGTATTCACAGTTATAAGAGCACAGCTACTGAATGCTCTAGATTAACTTATCTGCTTTCCCCATTCCGCTAACTGCCATTATTGGCCTTTGTGTGTGTGTGTGTGTGTGTGTGTGTGTGTGTGTGTGTGTGTGTGTGTGTGTGTGTGTGTGTGTGTGTGTGTGTGTGTGTGTGTGTGTGTGTGTGTGTGTGTGTGTGTGTGTGTGTGTGTGTGTGTGTGTGTGTGTGCGTTCGATCGTGCATGCATGCTTCTGTGTACAGGATTTTCACTCTGTACAGTAAGTCGTTGCCATTGGACGTGGCGTGTCGCGTGTGGGACGTATTCTGTCGTGACGGCGAGGAGTTCCTGTTCCGGACGGGTCTAGGGATCCTGCGTCTGTACGAGGACGTGCTCCTACAGATGGATTTCATCCACAGCGCCCAGTTTCTGACACGCCTCCCTGAGGATATAGGCTCGGATCGGCTGTTCACCTGCATTGCGGCCGCGCCCATGCTCAATGGAAACAAAAAGTGGTCCCAGGTCAGTTCCTCTAAACATGAGAAGACATGAATGTGGGAAAATGGACACGTTTGCACGGAGTGGCAATAAACATACAAGAATGTTATTATGTGGTTAGGTTGAAGCTATTTATGTAGCCTATTGTGTGAACTGGGACATGCTCCCAGAATTCCTCAAAAATAGCCTGTAATTATGTCCAGTCCCTGGTCTGCCCATCCGTCACGCGTGACACTGGTGTGACCAGGAGCGGTTTAGGAATGACGCATTACTCAGCCAATGCAATATAGAAGACATCTTTATCATAGATTCACACTTGTTGGGTCCTACAATTCATATACTACAGCACCTACAGGTGAATGTACATTGAGTACACAAACATTAGGAACACCTTCCTTTTTGGCCCTTAGAACAGCCTCAATTAGTCGGGTCATGGACTCTACAAGGTGTCGAAAGCGTTCCACAGGAATGCTGGCCCATGTTGACTCCAATGCTTCCCACAGTTGTGTCAAGTTAGATGGATGTCATTTGGGTGATGGACCATTCTTGATACACACGGGAAACTGTTGAGTGTGAAAAACACAGCAGTTTTGCAGTTTTTGACACAAACCGGTGCGCCTGGCACCTACTACCATACCCCGTTCAAAGGCACTTAAATCTTTTGGCTTGCCCATTCACCCTCTGAATGGCACACATACACAATCCATGTCTCAAGGCTTAAAAATAATTCTTTAACCTGTCTCCTCCCCTTCATCTACACTGATTGAAGTGGATTTAACAAATTACATCAATAAGGGATCATAGCTTTCACCTGGATTCACCAGGTCAGTCTATGTTATGGAAAGAGCAGGTGTTCTTAATGTTTTGTATACTCTGTGTATGTCAATTACAGAAATACATAAGAAAGAACCAGTATGATAGTCTGCTTTATTTGTGGAAATGTAGCTACACAGCACCACCTACAGGTATTTATTTGTGTGTGCCTAAAAAGAATGATCGGGTTGCAGTTTTATGCTAAGATTTGCTCTCTCCTCTCCAGGTATTTAATGCATTGATAAAGGACAACAAGGACGTGGACAGGAATTGCAACCCAGCACTTAAGAGTTCATGATTCAGCAGTGGAACATTTTAATGATCATGTTCCTCTCTTTAATTGAGAGGCTTTGATCACCTTAGATTGACCATGGTAAATGGACCTTAAAGAATGATGTCATACTTGAAGATGGAGGCCTTGAGCACCATTGGCAGTTTTATTGAATTGAGAGTATTTATGGTAGTATATCATGAATATATGATGACATACTGAAGTTAGATGTAATGTATTGGGTCTGTCTAGTCCCATCAGAAAGGTCTGGAGTTTCTTAGATTGAGTGAGGCCCTTAGTTACACCTGTGGATTTTCTCACTAACATGACAAGATATTTATTGAAAATGCACCTCCAAGCATACATTTACAGTATATGACTTAATGGACCAAGCCAATATAACAACATAGAACAAAATGAAAACAGTGACACAGCCCTTCCATTTCTTAAGTCTCTGAAGCTTGACATTGAATAGTTTCTGCTCAACTAAACTAACAGTAATAGGTTTTCATTACAGTGAGCAGTAAGCACTTGTTTCCGAAAGACCAATAGAAAGTGCAAAAGAGAACGTGTGGCACATGAGGCTTTGGTGTTTTGCTTTTGTGCTGAATGAATCCACAGTGAAGCTCATATATTGTTGTGAATGAAAGAGCAATGAGACACTCATTCAAAGCACCTATTCATGAAACATAATTTACTTTTAAAACTTGGTCTCGTTTGTGATGTTGTTCACATCTTTTGTTACTTTACATTTGACCAAATGCTTATATGTTGATGCAACATATTTTTTCATCAATGCTGTAGTTCATGGTTCTACAGGACATTTTTCGTATCTTATATATTGGATATAAAAAAAGTTGTATATTGTTTCTTTTGCATTTTTTCTATGCTCTTTATTGTACAGTTTTCATACTACTAAGGTAGAACAATTGTAAATATATTTGAAATTAATTAAAAAGTACCTCTGTGATACTGTATCAGATCAGAAGTTATGAATTATGTGAATAAATCAAAGAGATGATCATTACATTTTAAATGTCTATTTATTCCCAGACAGCCAGTTTTTCTTGACTGCCACAGCACACACCCAAGCAAACCAGTCTTCCCAACCACTGGGTGGCATTATTATAAAAACATTTTATCTATGAAGAGATCACACTTAAGTTTTACTTCCATGATCTTTACCTAGTAGAGAAAAAAATACTTCCGGAATAGGAAAGAAACACGTGTGGAAACATTTTACAGTTTATAGCTAACTATTATTATAATGTATCGATTTAAACAAGTGCTCCATCTTTAAAATAAGTATTTTACGATGGCTCCGGTAAGTACATCGTGTTATAGCTAGCTAAGTAGCTAGATAGATAGTAACGCTGCTAACGGTAGCTGAATTGCTTTAGCTACATAGCTAGCTAGCTGATGTCTAGCTATGTACTTTTTCATTTTGTCAGCAGGCAATGGCTGGAATTTACGCGGAACATTTTGTCAACTACTGTTACTCACCATTATTATAGTGGACACTATTATCGACACATTTTCGCGAAATTGCTCTATTGTAAACAGCCTGTCATCATTGCTTCAACTAGAAATACACTAACTATTAGCTAACTAGTTATGTCTGCACTGCTTGCAGTTCTGACAGTGTGATTTGCAGAGAGGAACCCTAGCTATGTGTTGTTGGCTTATATAAGACTTCACATTGCTTGACATGCATTCATTTCATAACCTAGTCAGTCAAATCTAGCTGTACTAGCTAGTGACTATTCAACCCCAAATCATCACCCAGGTTGTCCTTATGAATACAAAGCAGTGACAACCTTTTCTCACCAACAGCCAAGGAGTAAGAAGAGGAAGCCGAGCTTTCGCAGGCTACTGAAGACAAGCAATGTGAAGCTTGACAACAAGCTAAAGAATCGTCAGTTCAAGAAGGAGAGCACTGACAAGAAACACCGCAAGGAGCAGAAGAAGCTCCGGGCAGCTATCAAAGATGCTGCCTTGAAGACCCCCCTCCCTCTGGAGCGCTACAAGAAGAGGCCAGGTGTGTGCAGCATGACTACCCATCCATACAGTAGTATAGGCTAACATCTAGGCCCTGACATCTAGCACTCAAGCTGAATGATGTCTGTCCTGTAGTCAGTAACATGGTTTGGTTTACAATCCATGCACTCTTCCACACTATGGCATCAAAATAATTACGTAACCTATATAAAGTTATCATTATCATCATCTATTGTTTTTGTTAGACCTGTTTGGTGGCATTGATTACATGTCCCTGTCTGGGGTCTGTTACAGAGGATGAAGAGGAGGAGGAGTTTGTGGAGTCTCTGCCAATGGACATGATGGATGAAGATGACCTGGAGCAGATCAAGGCAATGGCTCAGAAAGCCTCCTTCCTCACCAGAGACCTGTCATCAAGGTAATTACAAGAGCTCGGGGAAATCCATACATATGTGAAAACTCCTTCAAGACTGTTGGAAAAGCATTCCAGGTGAAGCTGGTTGAGAGAATGCCAAGAGTGTGCAAAGCTGTCATCAAGGCAAAGGGTGGCTATTTTGAAGAATCTCAAATATAAAATATATTTTTATTTGTTTAACACTTTTTTGGTTACTACATGATTCCATGTGTGTTATTTCATAGTTTTGATGTCTTCACTATTATTCTACAATGTAGAAAATAGTAAAAATAAAGAAAAACCCTTCAATGAGTAGGTGTTCTAAAACTTTTGACCGGTAGTGTATGTCTGTAACTTATCTCCTCACTTAACCTTACTTGTTTCTACTTGAATACCTGCAGTGGTCCAGTGCATGCCAAAAAGCGCAAGGGGGAGCAGCAGGGGCCAGAGAGTTATGAGAAGATGCCCAGAAAGATGCAGCTAACAGAGGAAAAGGAGGTCATTCACCTCCTGCCAATCAAAGACAAGATTAGAGGCCTCATCCCTCAAAGCATGGAGAAACCTGGTAGGATTATTCATATGTGTGTTACCCCTGAACATCTTCACCTCTAAGTTTACATTTTCACCTAAGTCATATTGTTAAAAAGTTTTAGAATTTACAGCTCTATTGATACAATTGAGTTGTATTGTTTTGTCTTTTTTAGTTGTACCAAAAAAGGCTGAGGAGGAGGAAGGCGATGTCCCAACTGGCTTGGAGCAATTTGAAAACGGTACCAGCATCATGAACACCTTTTTGAATTGAGTCAGCCATCCTCTCTGTGAAGGATGTATTGTTACACCAACTATTGGTAGCCCAGTCCTAGTCAGTAGATTAGGTGCTTCTCTCTGATGTTGCTGGTATTTTTCCACAGAGGATGAGGCTGTGACCGGGCCGGCCCTGACCCCTCAAGAGCAGCTGAAGCTCCGCACACAGAAGCTGACTGACAGGAAACTACGCATCGCTAGTCTAGGATCAGACATCCTCTCAGACCCCACCACCAACGTAAGCCCTGGTTCAAACAACGCTGCATCTCAGCACCGAACCAAAAAATACATCACTTTCTCTTTGGAAGAGCGGGGATAGAAACCACGCAGTGCGCCTTGTCGGACTTCTGACGATAGTTTGGGAGCCTCTGCTGCTCTTGAGGCACAGTGCATGTGAAGCACGCCTCTGTTTCATGCAGCACGCCAGAGCAGTTCTTCCACTGTCGGGAGAAATGGTGATGCATATATTAATATAGTGTAAATTGCATGCAAAAAAAGGTTGCTTCGCTACCACACACACAACAGAAGCACAATCATGGCCTCGGATCCGCAGGTGGACGCGTTAGAACAGACCCAGGGTCTGTTTCTGTGGCGGCAGAAATGCTAATAGGCTAATGGTTAGTGTAGTTTATGCTGGTTTTTTAAACCAGCAACTGACAGTAAAAAAACAACTTCTCAACACGTTCATAACCGATGGGCAATATATCAACATGCAAATTGTTTTGCAATCTCAGGAGAAAATAGAACGTTTGCGTTGCACATAATATCGCTATGCTAACATATCTATCTCATGGTTTATTTTAGGGATGAGGAGACTTCGGGATTCCTTAGTAAAAGGGAGTTATGAAATCTGAAGACACTTTACATTTACCGATACACATTAAACTGATCATATTCACGGTTTCAAACATTAACTTCTGCGCCGCACAGGTGTGTGAATCGTCTTTCTTTGCCTTTTTAGTGCAATAAACGTTGTGCTTTCTTTAACACAGAAGAGGTCGCTGTTATGCCTGAATTCGACCCGAAACTAACAAGGAAGTCTGCAGTGTTGAGAGCAGTTGTATGAAACCAATCGATACGTCAAGAAAAGCCAGCCCGCTTTTTATTTCTATTCAGTTCGTCATCATAAGTTAGGCGTCTGAACTGTGCGTTAGACTCCTCGGGCTACTGTTGCTTCCTAGTCCCCTTGGCAAAATAGTATTATTTTATGTCACATACCAATAATCACATAGCAGAGAGAAAGAGACTTGGGAAATGTTTTGTTTGACTGTCCTTGGTATTTATGTTTTCTGTATAAAACCAATGTATGAACTTTCTGTCTGTGTTCAGATCAAGAAGCTGAAAGAGCTGCGAGCCATGCTGATGGAGACAGACCCCTATGTGGCTGTGACGGTCAGAAAGCTGGTCATGGTCTCTCTGATGGAGGTCTTCAAGGATATCGTTCCGTCGTACAGAATTAGACCCCTGACAGAGACAGAGAAAGCCTCAAAGGTGAAGAAAGAGACCCAGCAGCTGAGGGAGTTTGAGGAGGGCTTGGTGAGCCAGTACAAGTTCTACCTGGAGAACCTGGAGCAGACTGTCAAAGGTAACCCACTAATATATTTATTTGTTGATATTGATGACTTGTTATGACTGGCTGGTGTCTGCTGTGACTGGCTGGTGTCTGCTGTGACTGGCTGGTGTCTGCTGTGACTGGCTGGTGTCTGCTGTGACTGGCTGGTGTCTGCTGTGATTGGCTGATGTCTGCTGTGACTGGCTGATGTCTGCTGTGACTGGCTGATGTCTGCTGTGACTGGCTGATGTCTGCTGTGACTGGCTGATGTCTGCTGTGACTGGTTGATGTCTGCTGTGACTGGCTGATGTTGATGGCTTGTGACTAGTTCATATAGACGGGTTGGTTGTTTAGCAACAAAAGAAATGCGTGCGCAACAATGGGGCAAAACAGACAGGGTTGGCTTAGACTGTTGAAATGTAAGCTATATATTTAGTCTCCAAATGTTTAGCTAGCAAGCCATATTAGCATAGACATGACATCAGTCAAAACACCTCAAAACAAGACATGGTATCAATAACAAGATGGAAACAAGCCACCTACGATTCCCCACATGGCAGCTTCTTGTCATTGTTGCTAGCTATCTGACTTTTCAGAATCATAAAAACGCACACCTTCCGGCCACATCAATGCCCGCGCATCATATTCCTGATGTCAGCCAACCCGTCTATTTGTTATGACTGGTTGATATTGATGACTTGTTGTGACTGGTTCATTGTTCTTATTTTGACTAGTTGATATTAATTACTGGCTGCTGTTGGTTGTAACCATTTGCTGCCCTGTAGACTGGAAGCAGAAGAAGAGAAAGAGGAGCGAGGCGGTGTCTCTGCAGTCTTATAAGGGCCTGGCTGAGGTGGCCATCCGCTGTATCTGTGAGCTGCTGGTGGCCCTGCCACACTTCAACTTCCACAACAACATCATCGTCATGGTGGTGCCCCTGATGAACGACACTATCAAGAGGGTGAGTCTGGGAGGCCCATTTCAGGCCCATAGTTCTAAATCTTGTAACGTGATATTCAGTACAATATTAGCTTTAGACTTTGTAGCTATAGACTACAATGGGAATGGGCTCTGTAGAGACTAGTTTCTCTTAATTAAGATTACTTTGACTATCAATCAAAAGCAGTGGTTTTATCTTAGATGTATGAGGGGTGGGTTTGTCTCTTGTCTGACTGTGTTAACTGAGTTGATGTTATCTTGTTTGTCCAGGTGTCTGACATGTGCTGTGAAGCAGTCAAGAAGCTACTGAAGCAGGACAAACAGGGCCAGGCCTCACTAGGGACAGTCAAAGTTATCTCCGGACTGGTCAAAAGCAGAAACTATGATGTCAGACCAGAGGTACTATTCACCTACTATTCAAGTCGTTTTGATGACATGGCTCTTAAAGAAATGCATCAAAGGCCCCCTGTAGCTCAGTTGGTAGTGCATGGCGCTTGCAATGCCAGGGTTGTGGGTTCGTTTCCCACGGGGGGCCATTATGAAAAATGTATGCACTCACTAACTGTAAGTCGCTCTGGATAAGAGCGTCTGCTAAATGACTAAAATGTAAAAAATGTAAAATGTTCCCACTTCTTCACCCCACAGCTACTCAAGGTTCTCCTCTGCCTGAGGATAAAGGAGGTGGAGGTGAAGAAAGATACAGATGACACAGCTCCCAAAAAGAAGTTCATGAACTATAAAGACAAAAAGAAGAATCTGTCCAGGATGCAAAGGAAGGTCAGTAGCCCAAGCACCTGTGTGTAGGGACGTCAAACATTCAGCCTGTTGCAAAGCCCTATGGACACTCTAGTCTACAGCACCTGGTTAAAGTGTGTTTAGCTCAGATTGGTGATGATACTGTAAAAGTTTGTAGTCATCTCGATTACACAAAATCGATGACTTAAAACCGATCAATATCTTTGGTTTTGTACTAGGCTTGGGCGGTATCCAGATTGTCATACCTTCATACAGCCCTTGTGCCATACCGGGATAGTTGGTAATACCGGCACTGACCACAAAACCCCACTGATACTCTGTAATCCGAAGGTTAGCAATGCTAACAAGTACATGTAAATTCACAAAGAGAATGCTAACGAGAGCATTGCTACTCACAGTTCGCTGCATGCACAAAACAAATATTAGCGCAAGCAAGGCTCTTGATCCAGGAGGGGATTCTCTGCTGTTACCAAGTGAATCCTTGGTTTTGGAAGAAGCTAACCACTTGGCTAGCTAGATTTTTATTTTATTTTACCTTTATTTAACTAGGCAAGTCAGTTAAGAAAAAAATCTTATTTACAATGACGGCCTACACCGGCCAAACCCGGATGACGCTGGGCCAATTGTGCGCCACCCTATGGGACTCCCAATCACGGCCGGTTGTGATACAGCCTGGACTCGACACCTCAAGCGTTGAGCACTGAGATGCAGTGCCTTAGACCGCTGCGCCACTCGGGAGCCCGAGCTAGCTAGATAGCTAACTAGCTACTAAATTAGCAAACCAAACAACACAACTGTAGAGAATTTAGCACATTTTAGACAGTTAACTTAATAGTTATAAGATATCTAGCTGGCAAACATTTAGTTTTGAATTCCATACTGTAATTAGACCACCTGGTGCATGCTGCACAATAGTGAGTGACTAAAGACTAGCCTCTCATCGTTGTGTGCTTGTAAACAAATACCACGTGACTGGAGACTACCGCAAGCTTCATAATAATGTGGCAGGTGAAATGAAGAACACAATGTTCTTTATTTCCTAACGTATTGCACAAGTTGACTGGAGGTATTTACTTAAAGTACCTACAAATATTCACATTTATTAAGAAATAGTTTTTTTTTAAATATTCAATTTTATTTGGAACGGCAAGCCAGACAAAATTAAACGGGCCTATTTATATAATGAATATGATTTCGGGGGAACAGAAATGATTAAATATTAAAGCATTAGACCTATCACTAAAAGCTTCAGTCATACAAAAGTTATACTTAAATCTGAACTGGTTCTCTAGCAAATTAGTAAGATTGTCTCACCCAATGTTCAAGAATGGCCTTTTTCCCTTTATTCAGATTACAACCTCTCACTTTCAGTTATTTGAAAAGGAAATCATCTCCCAAATATCACTATTTCTAAAACAATCCATAGAAAGTTGGTTGCAATTTCAATTTAATCCTCCAGAAACGACAGAACAAATAATGCAACAAATATTGTGGTTAAACTCAAATATACTAATTGATTAAAAAACCTTCTATCATCGGTAGGACAGGTGGAGTTATGTCGCACATGTAGCTAACAAAAACATATGAAAATGTCTGCTCTACCCAAAATTACAACCAAATAATTGCAGCATTACCGCAAAAATGGAAGAGGAAAGTGGAAGGGGGAAAAAGTAAGGAACTTGTCTGTCGGCCTTGCATTAAAGAACATAATTGGTTAAAGAAAACTGTGATAAATAAAAAAAAGTATACCAGTTTCATTTAAGGACCAAAGGATTGACAGCCGTCCCAAAATAGTTGGGAAAAGATTTTTGACGTACCAATCCCATGGCATAGTGTTTATGAACTGATACGCAAAACGACGCCGGATTCAAAACTTAGAATTTTTCAATTTAAATTGTAAGTCGCTCTGGATAAGAGCGTCTGCTAAATGACTAAAATGTAAATTATTATATAAATTTTTGCTACCAATAGAATGTTATTTATATGGGATATACAATCTTCTCAGCTCTGCAGATTTTGCTGCAAAGAGACAGAATCATTAGATCATTTGTTTTGGTACTGTCCATTTGTAGCTTGTTTTTGGACACAGGTCCAGGAATGGCTAAAGGATTGCAATATTTACCTGGAGCTAACCCTGCAGATAGCATTACTGGGTGATCTGAAAAGTCATAGTCATTCAATCAATAATAATAATACTTTTAGCAAAAATGTTTCTTTTCAATTCACAATCTGTAGAAACAATGAGAATAGAAGGGTTCAGAACTTTTGTGAAACATCACAGTACAGTTGAAAAATATATGGCAAATAGAAATCCAATATGGACGGTGTTAAGGGATAGATGGAAGGTGTTGAATGGAGCTGAAGGATGGGACTAATAACAACTAACAACAACTAATAACAACAAGATAACTAATAATGTAAGCATACTGTGTCCATAATAAGTATATAGGCTATAGGTTGGGAGCTTTTATTGTAATTAATTCTTACAATTATTGTAAAATTAACTGTGTCCATAAAATGTATGTATAAGCTGGAAGTAGAGGCCTAAGCATTGTTGTTCACCAGTTTACTCCAATTAGGTAAGGGGTGGTGGGGTTGGAAAGTAATAAAGGGAAATATATTTTAAAAAAAGGATATCTATATATGTGTGTGTGTGTACAGTGAGGGAAAAAAGTATTTGATCCCCTGCTGATTTTGTACGTTTGCCCACTGACAAATAAATGATCAGTCTTTAACTTTAATGGTAGGTTTATTTGAACAGTGAGAGGCAGAATAACAACAAAACATTCCAGAAAAACGCATGTCAAAAATGTTATAAATTGATTTGCATTTTAATGAGGGAAATAAGTATTTGACCCCCTCTCAATCAGAAAGATTTCTGGCTCCCAGGTGTCTTTTATACAGGTAACGAGCTGAGATTAGGAGCACACTTAAAGGGAGTGCTCCTAATCTCAGCTTGTTACCTGTATAAAAGACACCTGTCCACAGAAGCAATCAATCAATCAGATTCCAAACTCTCCACCATGGCCAAGACCAAAGGGCTCTCCAAGGATGTCAGGGACAAGATTGTAGACCTACACAAGGCTGGAATGGGCTACAAGACCATCGCCAAGCAGCTTGGTGAGAAGGTGACAACAGTTGGTGCGATTATTCGCAAATGGAAGAAACACAAAATAACTGTCAATCTCCCTCGGCCTGGGGCTCCATGCAAGATCTCACCTCGTGGAGTTGCAATGATCATGAGAACGGTGAGGAATCAGCCCAGAACTACACGGGAGGATCTTGTCAATGATCTCAAGGCAGCTGGGACCATAGTCACCAAGAAAACAATTGGTAACACACTACGCCGTGAAGGACCGAAATCCTGCAGCGCCCACAAGGTCCCCCTGCTCAAGAAAGCACATATACAGGGCCGTCTGAAGTTTGCCAATGAACATCTGAATGATTCAGAGGAGAACTGGGTGAAAGTGTTGTGGTAAGATGAGACCAAAATCGAGCTCTTTGGCATTAACTCAAGTCGCCGTGTTTGAAGGAGGAGGAATGCTGCCTATGACCCAAAGAACACCATCCCCACCGTCAAACATGGAGGTGGAACCATTATGCTTTGGGGGTGTTTTTCTGCTAAGGGGACAGGACAACTTCACCGCATCAAAGGGACAATGGACGGGGCCATGTACAGTCAAATCTTGGGTGAGAACCTCCTTCCCTCAGCCAGGGCATTGAAAATGGGTCGTGGATGGGTATTCCAGCATGACAATGACCCAAAACACACGGCCAAGGTAACAAAGGAGTGGCTCAAGAAGAAGCACATTAAGGTCCTGGAGTGGCCTAACCAGTCTCCAGACCTTAATCCCATAGAACATCTGTGGAGGGAGCTGAAGGTTCGAGTTGCCAAACGTCAGCCTCGAAACCTTAATGACTTGGAAAAGATCTGCAAAGAGGAGTGGAACAAAACCCCTCCTGAGATGTGTGCAAACCTGGTGGCCAACTACAAGAAACGTCTGACCTCTGTGATTGCCAACAAGGGTTTTGCCACCAAGTACTAAGTCATATTTTGCAGAGGGGTCAAATACTTATTTTCCTCATTAAAATGCAAATCAATTCATTACATTTTTGACATGCGTTTTTCAGGATTTTTGTTGTTGTTATTCTGTCTCTCACTATTCAAATAAACCTACCATTAAAATTATAGACTGATCATGTCTTTGTCAGTGGGCAAACGTACAAAATCAGCAGGGGATCAAATACTTTTTTCCCTCACTGTGTATATATATGTATGTATGTATGTATATTTGCTAGAAGAAGAAAAAACATGGGGGATTGGAAGTGATGCAGACAATTACATTGATGGAAGTTACAATCTATCTGCAATATTAAAGCTCATCTACCCCCAAAAAAATAAAAATAAAAATAAATAAATTTCAACGGTATTGAAAAATCCTCCCGTGGCTTTTTCCAAATACCTCTGTATACGGTATATACCCAAGCTTTTTTTGTACCATTTTGATTTTGTCATATGCGCTGGGGTTCGCAGGACTTAGAACTCTGTCATTTACGAATTCAAATGACATGAACAATTTGTACAAAAATTGCTGGCCACACCAATACATTGATTTTGAGAGTCAAACTATCAGTGCCCTATAAAATCTGCGTTGTGGAAAATGCAGACAGAGAATCACACAATCCAGACATTAAAACGAAATTCAACTTAGTATGAAATCAAGTAAACGTATTGAACTTTAGAACATTTATTAATTTGCCCAAGTGGATCATAAAATGCATCAGTAATTCGTTTTTTTTTCTGCAGCTTTCTGAAACGGGACAGGAATGCCCATCTGTGTGTTTTGTGCGCTGTGTCCGTACAGTGCATTTGGAAAGTATTCAGACCCCTTGACTTTTCCAAATTTTTTTTTTTTACTTTACAGCCTTACTCTAAAATGGATTAAAACATTTTTTTCCCTCGTCAATCTACACACAATACCCCACAATGACAAAGCAAAAACAGGTTTTTAGACATTTTAGCACATTTTTACAAATAAAATGATTTGATATTTACGTAAGTATACAGACCCTTTACTCAGTACTTTGTTGAAGCACCTTTTGGCAGCGATTACAGCCTCACGTCTTCTTGGGTATGACGCTACAAGCTTGGCAAACTTGTATTTGGGAATTTCTCCCATTCTTCTCTGCAGATCCTCTCAAGCTCTGTCAGGTTGGATGGGGAGCGTCGATGCACAGCTATTTTCAGATCTCTCCAGAGATGTTCGATCGGGTTCAAGTCCAGGCTCTGGCTGGGCCACTCAAGGACATTCAGAGACTTGTCCCGAAGCCACTCCTGCGTTGTCTTGGCTGTGTGCTTAGGGTCATTGTCCTGTTGGAAGGTGAACCTTCGCCCCAGTCTGAGGTCCTGAGCGCTCTGGAGCAGGTTTTCATCAAGGATCTCTCTGTACTTTGCTCCGTTCATCTTTCCCTCAATCCTGACTAGTCTCCCAGTCCCTGCCGCTGAAAAACATCCCCACAGCATGATGCTGCCACCACCGTGCTTCACCGTAGGGATGGTGCCAGGTTTCTTCCAGACGTGACGCTTGGCATTCAGGCCAAAGAGTTCAATCTTGGTTTCATCAGACCCTTCCCCAGATCTGTGCCTTGACACAATCCTGTCTCGGAGCTCTACGGACAATTCCTTCGACCTCATTGCTTGGTTTTTGCTCTGACATGCACTGTCAACTGTGGGACCTTATATATATATATATATATATATATACTGGTGTGTGCCTTTCCAAATCATGTCCAATCAATTGATTTTACCACAGGTGAACTCCCAAGTTGTAGAAACATCTCAAGGATGATCAATGGAAACAGGATGCACCTGAGCGCAATTTCGAGTCTCATAGCAAAAACTGGTTTGTTTGTCATTATGGGGTATTGTATGTAGATTTAGGATTATTATAATTTTTTGTCCATTTTAGAATAAGGCTGTAACATAACAAAATGTGGAAAAAGTCGAGGGGTCTGAATACTTTCCGAAGGCACTGTATGTCTAGTCTACATTTTGTGTAGCTGTTAGCGATAATGATAACCGTCTGCTGGTAGATGGAAAGGCTTTCCCAAAAAACGTATCAATTAAATGTTAACTACAAACTAGCCTATGCTACCTGGCAGAATGATATCATGATTATTTGCATCACTCCAGTGGCCATTTGTTCTGCACACCCTGCAATCATATGAGCGCTACAGAAACTACACTAACTAAACAATGGTCTCTGGCTGGTGCCCATTGCATTAAAGGGTAACTACACCCAAAATATAAAAAATGCTTCGATTTTACCCAGACCACAAAAGTGGTCTCTTGATGTGGGTTAAGCATTGTTGTCGACTTATAACATCCAATTTATAACATCCAATTTAGTTTTTCTATTAGTCTCCCGAGTGGCACAGTGGTCTAAGGCACTGCATCGCAGTGCTATCTGTGCCACTAGAGATCCTGGTTCAAATCCAGGCTCTGTCGTAGCTGGCCGCGACCGGGAGACCCATGGGGCGGCGTGCAATTGGCCCAGCGTCGTCCAGGGTAGGGGAGGGAATGGCCTGGATGTAAATGTATTACAAAAAGTGTGAATTTTGAGAGCTAAAACCTGGAAATACGAAACGGAGAAAACGGAATTTGGGAAACAATGGAATCAGGCAAAAATATAACAGATTTGATAGGGCCCTAAACTATCGCTTAAACTACAGCCAACCCTTGTCAATGTAGATATCCTATGGCCCCAAATGTACTTCGTTGAAGTTAAATAACAACGCAACTGATTTGTTTCCTTTACTGTTTCGGCAGCCTCCCAAAATCTCTATCCACCAGTTTTGAATTTAGATGAGTCTTCAACAAATTCTTGTTTAACCAGTGATGTAAAAATCATTCTCAGATTCCGTTTTTGGTGCGTGTGCAGCTTCTAAGGCGATAATATGAATACTATTGTTGCACATGTATGTGTAGAGAGTACATTTTATGTTTAGATTTTCTATATATCATGAACTGTTTCTGCGAATCAGTTATGGATTCTGACATGTTAAAAATATGTTTTGACATTGAGCTATTTATCAAAATGTTTTGTCAACTGGAAGCAGCGACAGCATCATTTAACTTATGTTTTAGGAACATAAATTGAAATTTCAACAATCATTTCCAATGGTATTGAACTGCTGAATGAGTCCAAAAACATGCTGTGATTTATTTTGATGTTTTAGCAGAAATCACATAAACCGGTTTGCCTTGCCTATTGTGTGTCTGCCTGTGTACAATCTGTACATTTTTTATGTGTCTGTGAAAAGAGTGTAATGTATGTGTCCTGTCATCCTTACAGTGGAAGAAGGCTGAAGAGAAACTAGAGAAAGAGCTGCTAGAGGCTGAGGCATCAGAGAGCAAAGACAAGAAGCTCAAACTGGTGAGTGTTTATTCTCCAAAGTTACAACAGACCTGAAACGACTCAATTTGTTTTTGTGAAAACACTTTTACACTTCTCACGACAAAAGGTCTAACATCATTCCAATTGTTCTCTCTCTCCTAGCACACAGAGACGTTGAACATAGTGTTCTTGATATACTTCAGAGTACTGAAGAAAGCTCAAAAGTCGATCCTGCTTCCCTCCGTTTTAGAAGGTCTAGCAAAGTAAGAGAGACTACCTGTTTCCAGAGACATGAGTCACTTTCTGACAAATTGAAATATGGAGGCTTTCTTTTAAGACAAATATTTTTCTCCTAAGGTTTGCCCATCTGATCAACCTGGAGTTCTTTGATGACTTGTTGAACGTTCTCCAACATCTTATCCAATCAGGAGTGAGTATACATATTCTACCAATCCTATCAAAATGCTATTCACATCATCTTGTATGATTGCCTAATGACTTTTCTCTCCGTAGGATCTGACCTATCGGGAAAGCCTTCACTGCATTCAGACAGCTTTCAACATTCTCTCTGGTCAAGGTCAGTGATGGTTTATGATGACTTCAATAATAAACATGATTAAAAACCTCACTGAATACTGTGTATATAACATACTGTTTGTGCTTAAAGGATAGGTTAACTTTTTTAACCAAATCAGTATTTTGAATGTAAATGTCCAGACACTTCTTTTGCGATTTCACTTGGTTTTGAGAAACTTACCCCTTCAGCGATATACTTCCTCATGCTCGTTTGCAGTTGCATGGGCACAGATAAAACATTAACAAAGACTCCAAAAACACCCATATACGTCCTTTTACAAACAGCAACACTCCTAGTATAGTGATTTAGGTCTTTAGATGTTGTACACATGAAACATTGTCATTCGAACTTTATCCGCAATGTTATATTCCATTTTGTTGTACTCAAGCGATACTTCTTAATGTAGCTCGTGCATGCGCACACAGAAAAGTATCGCTGGAGTCCAACAAAATGTTGTTGTGGAAATCTGTTGGAGCTCAAGTCGACTACAAAACCGAATTAAATGCGCTCTCAGGGCATGCTGGTTGTAATACCAAAGTCAATGTCAGCATGTGATCTAGCTAGTAAGCTGTAAAATCCCCGGAAATAACTGCACTATCAATTTAGGAGTCTAAAATCTCACCATGTTCAAGCTGCAGCTAGATCGCCACATCTCAAACTGCGAGGTTGCTCTTTGCAATGGCCCCCTCCTCACACCACACAGACAGAGGGCCAAGGGGGGAGAGGAGGAAGAATCGCTTTGCGTGATAGTAGTTTAAGGAAAAACGCAGTGGAACAATTTGGTCCACTGTTAGTTTGAGTACGTCAGTGGAATATATACTTCATCATGTTGATATAAATGGCTGATTGTGTTCTAGACACAATATGCTTACATCGTATTAGGGTCACATGGCGAATCGGGGGGCAAGGTATTTTTTCAAATTGTTAAAACATTTGTATCAATGTTAGCGCCAATCTCCGGGAGGGTCAATAGGATAATTAACGTGGTAGGTTAGGAGAATTAGCATAAGGTTAGGGAAAGGTTTAGGGTTAGCTAAAATGCTACAATTGTCCCAGACGTGACTCAATCATATCTAGGTACATCCAGGTCTGCCCTGAGAACAGTCTTGGTTTCCACTAATGCAATGCTGCGGCAATATGGTGCGTGATGTTAGACACAAAAAATGCTGATTTAGTAGACGGACCACTTAGAACATAAACAACACATTTTTCTCAGTCACGGATCGCAAACGATGAAAACATTTGTTTTTATGTAGTATACTATTCCTTTAATAAATTTCCCTCTGCGAACAGGTGATGTCCTCAATATTGACCCACTGAAGTTCTACACCCATCTGTACAAGACACTGCTCAAACTCAATGCTGGTAAGTCAAACTACCCTATAGCTTATTCAAACCCATGTCTGGCTCTTTGACACAAGATCCATTGTGCTCTGAAGGTCCACCTGTACCTGGAGTGACTGTTCATAAGTCTTAAAGGTCAATGCAGCCGTTTGTATCTCAATATCAAATAATTTCAGGGTAACTATTAAGTACCTTACTGTGAATTAAAATGGTCAAAAATAAACAAATAGCTTCTTAGCAATTTCTCAAGCAATAATTTTCTTAGGACTGTCTGGGAGTGGTCAGAGTGGGGAAAATGTGCAGTTATTGGTAGAGAGCTTTGGAACTCTCTTTCTTATTGGTCTGTTAATTAATTTACCGCATGGTGATATCACCATGGAAGGCCAAAACTCCATCCCCCCAAAACAGGCTGAAATTCCAGGAGGTATTTTCAAACACCTCTTACACTAAAAGGGCAGTATCATTTTCACAATTTCACAGTATTATTCCAACCTCATAGTGTGGAAATGTATATAAAGCACCAGAAAATCTCATTTGTGACTGCACTGGGCATTTAAAAAATGTGGATGCTTTTCCCAGGTGCATCTAATGATGACATCAGCATCGTGCTGCGTTGTCTCGACGTGATGCTGACCAAGCGCAGGAAACAGGTGACCCTGCAGCGCGCCCTGGCCTTTGTCAAGAGACTGAGCACGCTCAGTCTGCACACACTGCCCAACGCTACGGTGGGCATCCTGGCATCCAACAGGACGTTGATACATGTAAGTGTTTATCGTGTGTGCATCTGCGTGTATTATGGAGAGAGATTGTGAGAGAGAGAGTGCATGAAGTGTGTAAGATTGAGTCATGAGTGTGTGAGAGCATATGTGTGTGATTTAAGAAAGCTGTGCTCCCCATCTCTCTCCGCAGACCTTCCCCAAGTGTGACATCCTCCTAGACAATGAGGCTCAGGGTAGTGGGGTGTTCCTTCCTGAGCTGGATGAGCCAGAGTACTGCAACCCTCAGAACACTGCCCTGTGGGAGCTACACACACTTAGGGTAAATACGCAGAAAGCACACACACACAAAAAATAAATAATACACATACAGGTATAGCTGATGGCGTTGCTGTTGTTGTGTTGCAGAGACATTACCACCCAGTGGTCAGGAGGTTTGCCACTCACCTCTGTGCAGGGGCTCCTAGTGAAGGATCTGGAGCGCTAATCGTTCAACTCGCTAGAAGGTAAGAACAAGAGGATCCCGTAACTTCAAATCTCACATTTAATTCATCCTCTATCAAAAGCCATTTGCTGCTCCTCCAGTTCTCTAACAAATACTCATACAAGACCCATGGTTCGTATGGTCATGAAAATCCTGGAAAAGTCATGGAATTTTAAAATGGTGTTCTCGACGAACAGTTATTGTGCTGACATTGCTTCCAGAGGCAGTTTGGAACTCGTAGTGAATGTTGCAACCCAGGCCAGACGATTGTTACGCACTACACGCTTCTGCACTTGGCGGTCCCGTTCTGTGAGCTTGTGTGGCCTACCACTTCACGGCTGAGCCGTTGTTGCTCCTAGATGTTTCCACTTCACAATAACAGCACTTACAGTTGACCGGGGAAGCAGGGCAGAAATTTGACGAACAGACTTGTTGGAAAGGTGGCATCCTATGACGGTGCCACTTTGAAAGTCACTGAGCTCTTCAGTAAGGCCATTCTACTGCCAATGTTTGTCTATGGAGATTACATGGCTGTGTGCTCGATTTTATACACCTGTTAGCAACGGGTGTGGCTGAAATAGCCGAATCCACTAATTTGAAGGGGTGTCCACATACTTTTGTGTAGTTATTTACCTGTCATGTGACATTTACTTGGCCCCACCTTTATTTCTATAGACATCTGCTTCTGTCCACAATGCTGCCTGAGGAAGACTTGAGTAGTGGAAACGCGTTGCAGTTTAGCGTCCTGATTTACAATGCTGACTGCTCCTACAGTGGGGAAAAAATGTATTTAGTCAGCCACCAATTGTGCAAGTTCTCCCACTTAAAAAGATGAGAGAGGCCTGTAATTTTCATCATAGGTACACGTCAACTATGACAGACAAAATGAGAAATGTTTTTCCAGAAAATCACATTGTAGGATTTTTTATGAATTTATTTGCAAATTATGGTGGAAAATAAGTATTTGGTCACCTACAAACAAGCAAGATTTCTGGCTCTCACAGACCTGTAACTTCTTTAAGAGGCTCCTCTGTCCTCCACTCGTTACCTGTATTAATGGCACCTGTTTGAACTTGTTATCAGTATAAAAGACACCTGTCCACAACCTCAAACAGTCACACTCCAAACTCCACTATGGCCAAGACCAAAGAGCTGTCAAAGGACACCAGAAACAAAATTGTAGACCTGCACCAGGCTGGAAAGACTGAATCTGCAATAGGTAAGCAGCTTGGTTTGAAGAAATCAACTGTGGGAGCAATTATTAGGAAATGGAAGACATACAAGACCACTGATAATCTCCCTCGATCTGGGGCTCCACGCAAGATCTCACCCCGTGGGGTCAAAATGATCACAAGAACGGTGAGCAAAAATCCCAGAACCACACAGGGGGACCTAGTGAATGACCTGCAGAGAGCTGGGACCAAAGTAACAAAGCCTACCATCAGTAACACACTACGCCGCCAGGGACTCAAATCCTGCAGTGCTAGACGTGTCCCCCTGCTTAAGCCAGTACATGTCCAGGCCCGTCTGAAGTTTGCTAGAGTGCATTTGGATGATCCAGAAGAGGATTGGGAGAATGTCATATGGTCAGATGAAACCAAAATATAACTTTTTGGTAAAAACTCAACTCGTCGTGTTTGGAGGACAAAGAATGCTGAGTTGCATCCAAAGAACACCATACCTACTGTGAAGCATGGGGGTGGAAACATCATGCTTTGGGGCTGTTTTTCTGCAAAGGGACCAGGACGACTGATCCGTGTAAAGGAAAGAATGAATGGGGCCATGTATCGTGAGATTTTGAGTGAAAACCTCCTTCCATCAGCAAGGGCATTGAAGATGAAACGTGGCTGGGTCTTTCAGCATGACAATGATCCCAAACACACCGCCCGGGCCTAGCCAGTCTCCAGATCTCAACCCCATAGAAAATCTTTGGAGGGAGTTGAAAGTCTGTGTTGCCCAGCGACAGCCCCAAAACATCACTGCTCTAGAGGAGATCTGCATGGAGGAATGGGCCAAAATACCAGCAACAGTGTGTGAAAACCTTGTGAAGACTTACAGAAAACGTTTGACCTGTGTCATTGCCAACAAAGGGTATATAACAAAGTATTGAGAAACTTTTGTTATTGACCAAATACTTATTTTCCACCAGAATTTGCAAATAAATTCATTAAAAATCCTACAATGTGATTTTCTGGATTTCTTTTCTCATTTTGTCTGTCATAGTTGACGTGTACCTATGATGAAAATTACAGGTCTCTCTCATCTTTTTAAGTGGGAGAACTTGCACAATTGGTGGCTGACTAAATACTTTTTTTCCCCCCACTATATATATATTCTTTATTGAACTATTAACAGAATATATTTACAAAAGTTTATTGAAATGTGCTGGCCTTCTTTCTTGGATTACCCGACATTTAATGGTCTACCTTCCCACTGCCCTCATCTCACCCGCGTTTGATTAACAAATTCAAGCACCACTAATTTAGAAAAAAACATTGATTTGTCCCCTTTGCAGTAAGACATTGTCTCTTGCAGTCACGTTGCGCTTATGAAAATATATATAGCGTAAGGATGTGGTACTGGTGACGTTAAACACTTCTCCAATCGTTGTTGAGATCTGATATTCTATGCAGCGCAAGACAAGAGACGGGCCAATGTCATGTCAACCAATAACATTTATCAAATCCTTTCGGGCTAAATTCCAGCTAAACTATGAGAGGAGTTAGGCCTAACTGTAACTTACAAAAAGCGTCCTAATGACGAAGAGCGTGGTTCTGCCACTTCTCACACAATGGTGCTGATTTAGTAAAGTTGAAAATTGAAAAGATGTCTTGGAATATCACAATGATTAATTAGTATTCTACATAACAGAACCAAATATAGTAGCATAGTATAACGTTAGTTACACCCCCCAAAAACACCTAATTTAATGAGATTTTAGGATGGTTAGCTGAAAGTAAAAAAGAAAAATGAATGCGGCCAAAACGCAACAGCGAGCGCCACTGGGCAGAATGTACTTTGATTTAAACAAAATGCAGGAAGGCTATATAATTAACACCATCTGCTCTAATTTGCTCACAAAACAGTAATTCAAGAATATCTAAATGCATATTCCCATGAAATTGATTGAGGTCAAATTATTGGCATGCAGATGCAGTTTAGATGTTTCACCAGTAAAACGTGAAAAATTATCATTCACAGTTGACAGTGATGGCCTATTTTGAAATTAGGTATACCTAACTTGGTGTTTGAGGGTATAAAAAAATATAACGTTTTCTTGAGACAATGTGTGGGCATACGCAGACGTTGCAATTGGAGGATGAATTTTATGCACAGGCCTATTCTATAATAATATTCAAAAGACTACATCTGTCAGTACAAACTTCGAGAAATTATGATGGCATTTACATTTTTAAGGCGCTCCGGCGCCTAAAAATGTATCTGCACCATGAGGGGGATTTTGGAGGGGGGGTTGCTTCTGCCCAATTTCTGTATTAATGTAGGCTACACTGTCCCGCATTTTAAAATGTGGTCACCCTAGCCGCGAAGGCCATACAAAGTTGATTTACTTTTTGGAACGATTCATTAAAACAATTATTTTTGACAACAAATGATTCACTTCACCATTGTATTAGTTGGGATTTGAATCGCAAACAGTAATTTTAGGAAAAAATATTAGATGTAGCCTTTCTTTTGGATTATGTGGCTTCAAAACTTGTTTTGTAGATACTTCCAGTTCATTTGGCCATCCAATGTATGGGACATGGCAACTTAATAGATGCTAGTCACCCTGCAAAGTAAACACTTCTAAGATTGCTAAATATGACTACACTAGAAAAAGGTACATTTCCTGAAGAAAATTTGTGGGCTTGCTTCAGCTGAATAAAAATATTTGTAGCCTACTATAGCCATTTGAACTTTGATAAAGTGCATTCGGAAAGTATTCAGACCCCTTGACTTTTTCCACATTTTGTTACGTTACAACCTTATTCTAAAATGGATTAAATAAATACAAATCCTCATCCATCTACACACAATACCCCATAATGACAACGCGAAAACAGGTTTTTAGAAAGTTTTGCAAATGTATAAAAAAACATACTTTATTGACATAGGTATTCAAACCCTTTGCTATGAGACTCGAAATTGAGCTCAGGTGCATCCTGTTCCCATTGATCATCCTTGATGTTTCTACAACCTGATTGGAGTCCACATGTGGTAAATTAAATTGATTGGACAGGATTGTGTCGAGGCACAGATCTGGGGAAGGGTACCAAAAAATGTCTGCAGCATTGATGGTCCCCAAGAACAGTGGCCGCCATCATTCTTAAATGGAAGAAGTTTGGAAGCACCAAGACTCTTCCTAGAACTGGCCGCCTGGCCAAACTGAGCAATCAGGGGAGAAGGGCCTTGGTCAGGGAGGTGACCAAGAACCCGATGGTCACTCTGACAGAGCTCCAGAGTTCCTCTGTGGAGATGGGAAAACCTTCCAGAAGGACAACCATCTCTGCAGCACTCCACCAATCAGGCCTTTATGGTAGAGTGGCCAGACGGAAGCCACTCCGTAAAAGGCACGACAGCCCTCTTGGAGTTTGCCAAAAGGCACCTAAAGACTCTCAGACCATGAGAAACAAGATTCTCTGTTCTGATGAAACCAAGATTGAACTCTTTGGCCTAAATGCCAAGCGTCACGTCTAGAGGAAACCTGGCACCATCCCTACGGTGAAGCATAGTGGTGGCAGCATCATGCTGTGGGGATGTTTTTCAGTGGCAGGGACTGGGAGACTAGTCAGGCTCGAGGGAAAGATGAACGGAGCAAAGTACAGAGAGATACTTGATGAAAACCTGCTCCAGAGCGCTCAAGACTGGGGCGAAGGTTCACCTTACGACAGGACAACGACCTTAAGCACACAACCAAGACAACGCAGGAGTGGCTTCTGGACAAGTCTCTGAATGTCCTTGAGTGGTCCAGCCAGAGCCCAGACTTGAACCCAATCGAACATCTCTGGAGAGACCTGAAAATAGCTGTGGAGCGACGCTCCCCATCTAACATGACAGAGCTTGAGAGGATCTGCAGAGAAGAATGGGAGAAACTCCCCAAATACAGGTGTGCCAAGCTTGTAGCGTCATACCCAAGAAGACTTGTCAGGTGCTTCAACAAAGTACTGAGGAAAGGGTCTGAATACTTATGTAAATGGGATATTTGTTTTTTATGTAATACATTTGCAAAAAGTTATGAAACAGTTTTTGCTTTGTCATTATGGGGTATTGTTTGTAGGTTGATGAGGGGAAAAAAACTACTTAATCCATTTTAGAATTAGGCTGTAACGTAAAGAAAATGTGGAAAAAGTCAAGGGGTCTGAATACTTTCCGAATGCACTTGTTTCAAGCAAATTATTTCAAATGCCATAAAACGTATTTGGTTGTAATTTTATACATCAAGGGTGGTCACCCAGTAGCTCTACGGAATGAGGGTTGACCACATGTGTTTTATACAGTTCCCTAACAGGTACTTGGGGGGGGTTAAGTTCCTTGCACAACGACAGGACATGGTACGTGCGATCAGAGAGCAGCCTCCCAGTGTCGATACCATATTATGCTTAATTTTTTATACGTACATAGAGACGCCGCCAGTTGTTGGTCATGGAAATTTGGTTAAAAGTCATGAAATTCCATCTTTCAAAATGTGTATGAACCCTGAAGACTAAAGTAATTCTCAACGGTGCATGAGATATTAACCAAAGATGTGTGCATGTGCAGTATGAAAAAAGTGCTAGCTTCACTTTTAACCCCTCTCAGGCACCCAGTGGAGCTGTTTGAGGACTACAGAGCTAAAGACATGACATTCAATCCTCCAGTGGCAGCGCCTAACACAAAGAAGAAGGTACAGTAGTACACTTCCCTCTTTGTCCATATATATTCCAGAATTTTATTAGGCCCACTTTACTGAATTGTCTTTGTGCTAATCTTATCTCCAAACACTTTGCATTGTGTTGCAGGATTATTTCACGATAGGCACTGCCCTGCTGGATGATAAATTAAAGCAACAGATTGATCGTGTTCTCTCAGCGGAGGAAGAGGATCCTATGTCGCTGGATTTCTCTGCAATTCTACCACAGACCAACAGCTCATAATACTTCAGACCTCACCGGAAAAACACCCCCTTTCCTTTGTGCCCATGCCTGTATTTTAGATCTAAGTGGACTGTAATAAACAATCAACCGTTGACTGGTTTCTGTTGGTGACAGTGCTGTTTGATCATTGTCTTTGCGGTTGACATTTTTGACAAGAATGTACAAAATAATGGATACATTAAAGTATTGTTGAGTTAAACCACCTGCCTCATTGATTACTCATATCCCTGACCTACAGTGCCTTCAGAAAGTTGTCACACCCCTTGACTTTTTCCACGTTTTGTTACAACCTGAATTTAAAAAGGATTCAATTAAGATTGTGTCACTGGCCTACACACAATGTCCCATAATGTGAAAGTGGAATTATGTCTTGAGTCAATAAGTATTCAACCCCTTTGTTATGGCAAGCCTAATTAAATTGAGCAGAAATGTGCTTAACTCACATAAATTGCATGGACTCACTCTGTAGCATGATTTTTGAATGACTACCTCATCTCACACATGCTGTAAGGTCCCTCAGTTGAGCAGTGAATTTCAAAAACAGACCAGTGAGGTTTTCCAATGCCTCGCAAAGAAGGGCACCTATTGGTAGATTGGTAAGATTTTTTTTTAAAAAGCAGACCTTAAGTAAAACTGCAAAGAATGTAACTTTTTGTCCTGAATACAAAGCGTCATGTTTGGGGCAAATCCAACAACCCTTCGCTGAGTACCACTAATCATATTTTCAAGCATGGTGGTGGCTGCATCATGTTATGGGTATGCTTGTCATCGACAAGGACTAGGGAGTTTTTTTTTAGGATAAAAATAAACTGAATAGAGCTAAGCACAGGCAAAATCTTAGAGGAAAACTGTCTGCTTTCCAACCGACACCTTTCAGAAGGACAATAACCTAAAACACAAGGCCAAATATACACGAGTTGCTTACCAAGACGACATTGAATGTTCCTGAGTGACCAAGTTACAGTTTTGACTTAATTCGGCTTGAAAATCTATGGCAAGACTTGAAAATGGCTGTCTAGCAATGATCAACAACCAACTTGACAGAGCTTGAAGAATTTAAAAAATAATAATGTGCAAATATTGTACAATCCAGGTGTGGAAAGCTCTTTGAGACTTACCCAGAAAGACACCGTTTTAATCACTGCCAAAGGTTATTCTATCATGTGTTGAATCAGGGATGTGAATACTTATGTAACTTAGATATCTGTATTTTATTTTCAATAAATGTGCATTTTTAAAAAAGAATTCACTTTGTCATTATGGGTATTGTGTGTAAATGGGTGAGAAAAAAAATAGATTTAATCCATTTTGAATTCAGGCTGTAACAACATTTGGAATAAGTCCATGGGTATGAATACTTTCTGAAGGGTGTGTGTGTGTGAAAAATATAAACTGGTCCCATGTTTCATGAGCTGAAATAAAAGATCCCAGAAATGTACTGTACGGACAAAAATATAATTTCTCTAAAATGTTGTGCACAAATTTGTTTACATCCTTGTTCGTGAGCATTTTATCCTTTGTCAAGATAATCCATCCACCTGACAGGTGTGGCATATCAAGAAGCTGATTGTACAGCATGGAAATTACACAGGTGCACCTTGTGCTCGGGACAATAAAAGGCTACTAAAATGTGCAGTTTTGTCAAAACACAATGCCACAGATGTCTCAAGTTGAGGGAGCGTGGAATTGGCAATCTGACTGCAGGAATGTCCACCAGAGCTGTTGCCAGAGAATTGAATGTTCATTTCTCTACCATAAGCCGCTTCCAATGTAATTTTAGAGAATTTGGCAGTACGTCCAACCGGCCTCACAACCGCAGACCACGTGTAACCACGCCAGCCCAGGACCTCCACATCCGGCTTCTTCACCTGCGGGATGGTCTGAGACAAGCCACCCGGACAGCTAATGAAACTGGGTTTGCACAAGCAAAGAATTTCCAAACAAACTGTCAGAAATCGTCTCAGGGAAGCTCAACTGCGTGCTCATCGTCCTCACCAGGGTCTTGACCTGACTGCAGTTATGCGTCATGACCGACTTCAGTGGACAAATGCTCACCTTCGATGGCCACTGGCACGCTGGAGAAGTGTGCTCTTCACGGATGAATCCCGGTTTCAACTGTACTGGGCAGATTGCGGACAGTGTGTATGGTGTCGTGTGGGCGAGCGGTTTGCAAATGTCAACATTGTGAACAGAATTCCCCATGGTGGGGGTGGGGTTATGGTATGGGCAGGCATAAGCTACGGACAATGAACACAATTGCCTTTTATCGATGGCAATTTGAATGCACAGAGATACTGTGACGAGATCCTGAGGCCCATTGTCGTGCCATTCATCCGCTGCCATCACCTCATGTTTCAGCATGATAATGCACAGCCCCATGTCGCAAGGATCTGTACACAATTCCTGGAAGCTGTAATGTCCCAGTTCTTCCATGGCCTGGATACTCAAACATGTCACCCATTGAGCATGTTTGGGATGCTCTGGATCGGCGTGTTCGACAGCATGTTCCAGTTCCCGCCAATATCCAGAACTTTGCACAGCCATTGAAGAGTGGGACAACATTCCACAGGCCACAATCAACAGCCTGATAAACTCTTATGTGAAGATGTGTCGTGCTGCATGAGGCAAATGGTGGTCACACCAGATACTGACTGGTTTTCTGATCTATGCTACCCTACCTTTTTTTAAGGTATCTGTGACACGGTCATAACCATGTCATAACAGCTGACATAAGTTGTCATAATATGGTCATAACACCTGTTGTGATATATATTCCATTATTTTATGGCTGGTTATGACACCTACATAAGTGTCAAATCCCACGAAACCTACCACACAACGCAGAACATTCCATTACACCATAAACATTCTGTTGACACGTAGGCTATGTTATATATTGTTTTGTTGTTGACCATATTAAATTATCATTGTAAGAGCGTACACATTAATGTGAGACATGAACCTACCACAAAGCAGATTTCAGGAGCAGGACAAGACACCCTCTTTTTGACTGATGGCTGATATAAGGGCAGGTACGTGATAGGCCTATCTGGCTTATATGAGTATGATGGTCATAATGCTTCTTGACAGTGTCATAAAGTGTATCTTCTTAGCCCAAGTGAAGTGACACAGGATTGTCATAATGCTTCATGAAAGTGTATTTAAAATATGAAGAAAAAAACATGATTGTAAAGAATTCATTACAACAACAACAAAGGATTTAAGAATGAGAGGAAACTTCTTGGCAGGAAAAAAATATTTTAATAATTGTGGGTTGACACTTATATAGGTGTCAATACCAGCCATAAAATAACTCAATATGTCACAACAGGTGTAAATATATGGGTCATGACAGTGTTATGACAAGTTATGTCAGCCGTTATGACACTGGTTGTCAAGTGTTACCCAAAAAGGAATTAACATACCTTTAAGCTACATATTCATTTGACAGAGGTAATGAACTGTCCATTGATAAAACAGGACCAAGTTTGCAAAACAAGTGGTTCTGAGCTTGTCACTATCACACAGGTAAGCTAATGATGACATAAAATCAGGAATGCATACATGCTCTATAGACATTTATTAGTGAATGTGTCCAACACACCACCACCTGTTATGTTTGGCACTTATTTTTCTCAATTACATGTATTGCTGAAATAAAGGTTTAAGGAAATATAGGCAGGCACCACATTACTACAATACAGAACAGCTCACTCAGTCGAGCCTGATGGTCTTGTAAGTATAAAAGTTTGCTTTCATATAATACATAAAAGCTTGAAAGGTTAGTGGAATGGGATAATGTCTTAGTGTGGTGTGTGAATAATCCAATACTTTACCTTCAATAGTATGAATTGGGTTCTTTGAGAAGGTTTGAATCCTAAGAAACCTGTTTACACATTGTTTGAAGTACAATAGACCAACATACAGTGAGGGAAAAAAGTATTTGATCCCCTGCTGATTTTGTACGTTTGCCCACTGACAAAGAAATGATCAGTCTATAATTTTAATGGTAGGTTTATTTGAACAGTGAGAGACAGAATAACAACAAACAAATCCAGATAAACGCATGTCAAAAATGTTATAAATTGATTTGCATTTTAATGAGGGAAATAAGTATGACCCCCTCTCAATCAGAAAGATTTCTGGCTACCAGGTGTCTTTTATACAGGTAACGAGCTGAGATTAGGAGCACACTCTTAAAGGGAGTGCTCCTAATCTCAGTTTGTTACCTGTATAAAAGACACCTGTCCACAGAAGCAATCAATCAATCAGATTCCAAACTCTCCACCATGGCCAAGACCAAAGAGCTCTCTAAGGGTGTCAGGGACAAGATTGTAGACCTACACAAGGCTGGAATGGGCTAGAAGACCATCGCCAAGCAGCTTGGTGAGAAGGTGACAACATTTGGTGTGATTATTCGCAAATGGAAAAAACACAAAAGAACTGTCAATCTCCCTCGGCCTGGGGCTTCATGCAAGATCTCACCTCGTGGAGTTGCAATGATCATGAGAACGGCGAGGATCAGCCCAGAACTACACGGGAGGATCTTGTCAATGATCTCAAGGTAGCTGGGACCATAGTCACCAAGAAAACAATTGGTAACACACTACGCCGTGAAGGACTGAAATCCTGAAGCGCCCGCTAGGTCCTACTGCTCAAGAAAGCACATATACAGGCCCGTCTGAAGTTTGCCAATGAACATCTGAATGATTCAGAGGAGAACTGGGTGAAAGTGTTGTGGTCAGATGAGACCAAAATTGAGCTCTTTGGCATCAACTCAACTCGCCGTGTTTGGAGGAGGAGGAATGCTGCCTATGACCCCAAGAAAACCACCCCCACCATCAAACATGGAGGTGGAAACATTATGCTTTGGGGGTGTTTTTCTGCTAAAGGGACAGGACAACTTCACTGCATCAAAGGGACGAAGGACGGGGCCATGTACCGTCAAATCTTGGGTGAGAACCTCCTTCCCTCAGCCAGGGCATTGAAAATGGGTCGTGGATGGGTATTCCAGCATGATAATGACCCAAAACACACGGCCAAGGCAACAAAGGAGTGGCTCAAGAAGAGGCACATTAAGGTCCTGGAGTAGCCTAGCCAGTCTCCAGACCTTAATCCCATAGAAAATCTGTGGAGGGAGCTGAAGGTTCGAGTTGCCAAACGTCAGCCTCGAAACCTTAATGACTTGGAGAAGATCTG